TGAAATATATTTATGTTTGTGGTTGTAATGTGACAAAATATGGAAAAGTTCAAGGGGTATGAATACTTTTGCAAACCACTGTAGGTTCTATGTGTTGTACGGGGATGGCTTTTGCATTACATACCAGGGGTGCAACGATACAGAAAATTCACAATTTGGTTTGATATTTGGGGCAAGAAGGTCGCCGGTTCAAATCCTGGCTCGGGGACCTTTCTGCGTAGAGTTTGCATGTTCTCTCCGTGCATGCGTGGGTTTTCTCTGGGCACTCCGGTTTCCTCCCACAGACCAAAAACACGACTGTTAGGTTAATTGATAACTCTAAATTATCCATAGTTGTAAGTGAGAGAGTGAATGGTTGTTTGTCTTGTTTGTCTCTGTGTGTCTCTGTGATGGACTTGTGACCTGTCCAGGGTGTACCCCGCCCCTCGCACTGTGACTGCTGGATAGGCAACAGTGACCCACTTGACCAAAGAAGGAAGAAGCGGGTATAGATAATGGATGGATGGTTTGATACTTCAGTCTCACGGTTCGATATTTTTTCGATAAGAAAAAAGAGAACTGTCCATGCCCTTCTTAACTTGTAATTTATTGAAAATAATTCTGAACATTTGTTTAACCTCAAAAGTAGTTTCTAAATGAAATGTTGCTGAAACAGCAAGTTTCTCAGCGGATCTGTGCTCGACAATGCAGCCTAGGTGGAGTAGTCGAGCACAGATCCACTGATCGTTCAACACAAAGCAACTTCAGAGGACAAGTTGATAAAATCAGTTTTTAAAATCTGTATTGATCCATACATAGCGTGTATTGAACAGTTCGATACAGATACATGTATTGTTCCACCCCTATTAAAAACGTATTTAGATTCTGTTCATCTGGTTATTGCAAAATACACCACTCGGTTATCTTAACAGCTCTGAAAAGAAAGCATTTAGTCAAGGAACGTGGGGTGGTTTCCTGGCACCAGGATTCAAGGAAAAAATGTTTTTAAGCCTCCTGGATTGTGGGCTGAGGTCTCTCTGGATTGGGCAGATACCATTCTACCCCTCTGGGTTGATATCTTGAGAGTATGGAAGCTTAATCACCTCAGACACTTGCTTATTTTTGCAGGGTTCACTGTGTTTCTATAACCTAACCACTGCTGTAGGGAATGAGTTTGTTTGCAGAGTGTCAAACGTAACACCCAAATGTTAAAAGGCAGGTTTTCCAGCCAAACATTGCGCAGTAACAGCGAACTTTGCTGCTCGCTCCTAATGTTTCAGCTGATTGATGACCACTTGTTTGGACATTCACGACTCTACCCCCCCTGCTGTTTTCTCTCCCAGGTTGCTGAAAGGAATTAGCAGCAGCTCTGTGGAGGATTCAGAGAACTGTAAGGAAATCTGTAAAGACAAGGAAAACTCCTTGGACGGTCAAAAAGAGGTGTGTGTCTTTTGTGTGCGAAGTGTGTGACTGAGACAAAGCATGAAGCAAGTTTAATTTTTTTCACACTTTTATTTTCTGTTGTTTTTGTTCGGAGCAGCTGCAGAAGAAGTTAAATCAGCTGGAGGAGCAGCTAGATAATGAGATGCAGGCCAAAGATGAGCTGGAGCAAAAGTGCAAGTATGAACATAACATACGATCGTCTGGTCTGTCCTAAAATTCTTTCATCTTTTTCTGATTTGTGAAGTTAAAATTCTGAGTCTTAATTTTGTAATGTGATGAAGTTATAATAATTAAAAATGTTTTCCTCTTAGAAATGCTACCAACCGTTTAGATAAGCTGGTCAAAGAGCTGGATAAGGAGGTAAGAACCGAGTGAAGGCTGGGAAGGTGTGTCACAAACACGTCGAAGTTTGTCTCTGCTCACTGTGTGTGTATGTGTGTTTTTGTGTGTCTGTATGTGTGTTTTTGTGTGTGTGTGTGTGTGTGTGTGTGTGTGTGTGTGTGTACCCTTCCTGCCTCAGATGAACAGCAGGCAGAAAGTCGAAGCCTCGCTGAGGCAGCTGGAGAGAGAGCGAGCTCTGCTGCAGCAGCAGAGCGGAGAGAGTCTGCGCAAAGCCGAGATCGAAGTGGACAGGAAACGCATCTTGGAGAACGAATGTGAGCACCTGATGACCTCTGATTGTCACAGATTAGACTGATGGATCATGAAAATCTCATTTAGATCAATTATATTTTTAATAACATTTATCGTCTTTCTGCATAAAAAAAGTGGGCAAAGAGAACAGGTGGATGAATAATACGGTCATAAAACACAACTATACTGTAAGAAAAACTGGATCAGAATTGGAGTTGGAATAAGTTTGCAGAAAACCAGTTGATTTTTTTCTAAAAAGTTTTATTCAACAATCAGCTCCCAGCCAGGCAGGCCTGTAAGTTTGAGGCCTTGGGTCTTATCAGAACAATAACAACTTACATCAGCAGCCCAGCATGTCCCAGGCTGCACTAAAAAGAATAATGCGTAATGATGACTCACCCCATAAAGTCACGTGCACATCTGACTTGAGAAGGTGGGCCGGTGTAGTTCTGACTGACACCTTCGGGAACCAACCACCTGCTGGTCTCTTAAATCAAACACCAGGTTGCAGTGTTTGGTTTTTTTGTTTTGTTTTTGATAGGTATTTTCTAAAATACATACAAAAACAGGGGAGCAAATGAGACAATCAAACCATGGTTTAGAATCAAAGGTGAGGAGAACGCTGGACAGGGAGTCTCTCGTACAACCCAAATCCACCGTTCTGAGGGACTCCCTGTAGTTCAACCTCTTTTATTTAGTTTTCACGCCCCTGATTACATTGGCCATGAGACCGCCTAAGGGAAAAGGGGAAATGCAGATCTCATGACAACATTATTTGATACAGATTAAGTCAGGGACAGCTTCTACTGTCCACAGATGATGCGGATGCGGGTGAATCAGTTCAGAGTTCATC